AGAGAGAGAGAGAGAGAGAGAGAGAGAGAGAGAGAGAGAGAGAGAGAAAGCAAGCCAAAGCCATCCTGGTCTACAGAGCAAGTTCCAGGACAACCAAAGATGTTACTCAGAGAAACCCTTCCTTGAATAACAAAAAAAGGATAGCCTTGGTCATGGCCTCTCTTTACAGCAATAGAACACCAACTAAGACACAGGAACAGTCAAGTCATCCTTTGAGCACACTCTGAATGTCAGGAGACAATGATCCAGCTATACAAAGCTCAGAGCCGGATTCCTCTGGTGTTACCCAGATGCCCCTCCAATGTCCTGGGCCTCAAGACATCCCACCCATACGAGGCTGCCTCTGGGCTTGGCCAGCTACCCATCCCTTTTCCTTATTTTACTCCCCAAATACCCTGATTTATTAATCAATAAGCATGAATTACAACTCAGGATGAAGTTTCAAACCATTCAGCAAAGCACTGTACTAGGCATCATGGACCAGACACTGTTTGGAATACCAGGAGAACTACAGTAAATCACACACCCCTTGAAGCTTATAGTCCAAAACCAAAATATTTTTCATGTTAGTGAAAAAGTACATGGGCGTGAGGGAGGGGCAGTTCAGTGACTAGTGACTCTCGCCTAGTATTTGTGAGAGGCTGGTTTCAATCTCTAGCACACACAAAGAATAAAATAATAAAAAAGGCCAGGTGCTGTGGCACATCTATGATCTAGTACTTGGGAAGGGAGGCAGGAGGATCAGGAGTTCAAGACCATTCTCAGCTACTAAGGGAGTGAAGGGCCAGTCTGGCCACTGTCTGAAAAATACAAAGAAGAAAACCCACACCACAAACCAACCAGGCAAGGAGCAAGGAAGGTGATTTTTGTTTTTGATGGGTTTCTTTTTGAGGGGGCAGGTATGGTTTATAGAATGACTAAAGGTGTTATCTGTAAAGAAACTAAAGATATCACAGACTGAGTCAAGCAAAAAATTGAGAGAACAGCGTTCCTACAAAGGGAATGGAATATGAAGGCTCAAGGGAGAAGAGGAGGAACTGCAAGGCCAGTGGGAGTATGGCTAGAGCAAAGGAGAAAAGATAACAAGAGACACAAGTCACAAAGGACATTCTAATTACTGTATCAGTACGAGTGACCAGGAGGGTCCCTGGAAGGTTTCTAGCAGCTAAAAATGCACCAAGCTGCTTTTGACAGGAACAGGGTCCAGTATAAGACCTGATATTTGAGGGAGCAAAGAATGACAACACTGATAGGTACTCTCCTCGCACCAAATAAGCCAGAGCAAGCCAAATGAAAGTATAAAGGCAGGTTTATTGGGAGCAGCCCTCTGGTGGGTTCACTGGTCCCGAGGAAGGGAAGTCGCCTTGCAAAAAAGAGAGACGGTGGGAGAAAAGAAAGTAAAATGACCTCACATATGCAGGGAGAGGACCAAAATGTCTGGATTATACAGTGAAGAGCTTCAGAGGAGAGAGCCAGCCCAGGCCCTGGACTGGAAACTTCAAGAAGGGACTGAGGGCTGCTGGAAGAACCTGGAGGCCATGTCCGATTTGGTAGGTTAAATAGGCACCTTAGCCAGCTGTCACGGGCCAGAAACCCAACAAACACGAAGCTGAGTTAAAAAAAAAAATCTATCTGGAACTCAGCCACCTCCTACAGTTCTACGATGAGACAATGAGATTAAAAACGTGATGGTGGTAGGGCTCCAGGTGGAAGGGAGGCACAATCTCAGTCCGTGGGACCGAGACACATAGACAAACACAAGCCCTCCCCCATTCACTTTAAAGAATGACTAACCAAAGCAAAAGAGGGATGGTACTGAGCTATCCAAGGTCAGCAGCCGGCCTGCGAGGAAGCTGACACAAACGGTCAATACACAAACGCCCTCTCCTCCTGGGCGGCCGCGTGGGAGACGTCCTCAGGTGCACAGCCATCCATCGACCCAGCAAAGCGTCAGCAGTGACTCATGCCAGGTTTCCCGCGCGGACGTGGGCCGACTGGGTAGGCAGCGATGGACTGCGTGGTCCCACCCGGCACGACAGGCGGCTTCCCACCGCCTCCAGGTGAGATGGATGCCAACGTGAGGCGCCACCGCAGAAAGGCAGCTGTGGCTAGTCTCTACTCTAGGCCTCAGTTTACCCAAACGTACAAGGAGCAGAGCCGCCCAGCGCCCCATAACCCAACGCCGGGTGCAGCGAGATCAAAAGGGTAGGAACGAGGCGATCGCTTTGCCCCACCCGGATCCTGGTGGCCCAGGCAAGTGACAGGAAGAGCGTGAGGGCCCCGACTCACCACAAACTAGCGGCGCCGCCGCGTGGGGAGAAGGAACGCGCGCGTCGGTCACTGCTTAAGAGCCCGCGTGAGGGCCAGACCGGTCACCGCGCCTCCGTACGGCGGGTCCAGTGATCAGTCTGCTCGCCTGTTCTCGCTGCCGCGGCTGCTTGTCTAGCTTGTGCACACCACCTGCTCCACAATCCCCAGCGATTATGGCGGCGGAGGAGGATTTTTGAAAGCCGGCAGTTTCTTTCCTTCGATTTGATTTGTTCAAGCCGGAGCGGGGTTTTGCCGGGCCCGCTTGCGGGGCCTACTGGGAAAGGAAGTCCTGTCCTCCAGCGCGGGCTTGGCTGGACGCGCAGGACAAACTACAATTCCCATGATGCACCGTGCTCGGAGTTCGCAACCCTACTCTCTGCCCGCCCTCTCGGCTTCTGGCTTTTTCTCTACAGGTCTCTGTGGATGGTATTGGACCAGAGCGCCCACAGACTACAAATCCCAGCAGATCAGGCCGCGAAGCAGCCGCACCCTTCCGTAGAGGTTAGCGTTCTCATTCATGCAACTTTATTGACAAAGGCGATATAGTGAAAGGCATGTCCCTGGATCTCTTCAGCAGTAATAGGGATCTACTTGCTAAAAGAAATGACTTAAAAGAAAAAAAAATCTAATTCCCCTAAAATTGAAAGAGAACGCCAAAGATTCCTCGATAATTAAGAAAATGGAGAAAGTCATTCTGTCATAGATACAATCTTCAGGTATCGCCTTTAACTAACTGATTCATATTAACATCAATAACAGAACACGCACAACCACCATTGCCTTACAGTGTGGTGCACTGAGGACACAGCATGGCTGTCCATTCTTCAAATGAATAAAATTAATCAAACGAGAGAGAGAGAGAGAGAGAGAGAGAGAGAGAGAGAGAGAGAGAGAGAGA